TATTTTTTTAACATTCAACTCTTTAAAAAATATTTTATATTTTTTAACAGAAGTAGTATAACATTTATATTAACAGTGAGAGGAGAGTGCGGCTCAGAAAGCGATAGCTAGAGCTCAGATTGAGTCTTCAAATTTCATTATGAAGGAGCAAGGTTAGGCACAAACAATATAAGGGGTGAGGGGTAGTGAGAGGTAAGACGCCAACTTTAGTTCAAAGCACAGCTTCACTAAGACTAAAGTGGACTATTACGTCCTATATTGGAAAAGACTTAGGAAAAGTATTGAGCATATAATAGATGCACTGCATTGAACTAAGTTTTGGGAAAAGAGTAATTGCCTTGTAATGGGACGCTTTGAAGAATGAAGGGAATGTCTACTCTTTGGAGTGGAGTTGTGCGGCGCTAATAATCTCAATCTTCTATTAGGTTCAGGAGTTGGATCAAAATTAAATAACCTAAGGACAATGTGATAAATATTATTATTAAATTAAATATAAGTAAAATCCATATAATTAAATATAAATGATTAAATAAGCCGGCCTATGAGCTTACTGGCCTAATCTGTTTAGCTAAACAAGCTTTTAGAATAAGCCCCTTTAGTTAAACAAATCAGGCCGTAGGCTGCCTAATAGAGGTCTAATCTATTTCCATGCTTACTCACAGTATAGATCACATTGAAGTTGGTGAGAAGAGAGCAAATGTCTTTTGCAATCATTAAACCAAGCCTCTAACTAAAGATTTACCAAAGAAGTTTGGCCAACAAAGGAGATTGAGGTCTTGAGATCGAAGGTCCTCACTAGTAGCCTAGCAGGAGTTATAATCAAGATCTAGAGTAAAGTTGAATGAAGATAGAGAATCTCAAAATCTCTCGTGTAAGTAGTTCTGCGCTTAAACCATGCAAGCATGACAACTTGTCGCCTATCCTTAAGAATTAAGATTTTCAACACTATAAATAACTCTTATTTTTTCTTGGATCATATGAAGCTCCATCCATCTACTTAAAAATTTGGAAGGCTTCTTTTAATAACAATTACAACCAGGCGACTTCATCCAATGTGCATATATATGCTTTAGAAAGTAGTACAAATGATGATAATTTTAAATGGCTTTGCAAATATCAAGCTTGTGACCATCATGAATGACTAACTTTTCGAGCTTTCAAATACCATGGATTAAAATTACAAATCTTTCTAAGAGATCAAATTTTCTATCTAGAAGAAGATGCTTGATGAAATCCTTCAGAAAATGTAGATAGCTTGAACAATCAAAAAAATCAAATTTCAAGGACAAAGCATAATGGCTAGGTTATCTAAATAATGCAATATATTAATAGTGGCAACTGCCATTATCCCTTTATTTTACTGACAACTCATTCAGTTTATGAAACTAAAGGCTGATTTGATTCTTTTTTTTTTTAAGGTATCCTCACAATCAATAACCATGAGACTAATTCCTCAAATAATCTTAATGTCATTTAAGGGGTTGTTCTCTCTCAAGTTGTACTCTACATACACACTTTTAAGAATTGAATTCTGAAATGATGTTTAATGAACTTAGATTTTGATGAACCTAGACTATTACCATCTGTGCCACACCTACTTGGGAGGGCCCATATGATTTAATTGCATATTTGCAAATGAAGAGAGAATGATTAGCATGGGGTGCGATGCAATACACACTATCCGTCTATTTGGTTTGATGTCAAAGAATGTGATGGAAAATCAATGGGAGTTAGGCCTAATAAAAAGGATTGGTCTCTCATAACATAGCAAACTAAAATTCAAATCCTCGTTAAGATATGTGCCTACATTTAATACCTGATCATGCTTCAAACATGATTACCTTTAAAAAGAATATCTATGAGCAATAAAAAAAAGAGAATGCAGTAGAAAATTTTATTTTTATATTTTATCATAGAAAAAAAATTAAATGTATACTTACTTCCTTCTTTGCCCTCTTTCCTTCCACTTTCACCATCCTTTGACCTCCGCTATTGCAGCAATAAGCTAGCTGTCCACACAATCTCCTTTTTATTTTTAACATATTCAACATTCAAATGCAACACACAACATACAAATTAGATCTAAAATTCAAATTTTTGCTTTTTCGCCAAACAATGTGAAGAATAGATCTAGAACAAAAATTTAAAAACTCGTCAATGACATGTGTGAACAACCAAGGATCAAGAGCAAATATGACTTTCCAAAGATTGTAGAGGATAGTAATTACCATGGTAAAAGACTTTGAGTAACCAAACACAATTTTCAATAGTAATGGGATCTCCATTACCATGGATTACCATTGTAGGGTTGCAATGGAATTGAACCAAATGAGCTGTATATGTGGAATACAATATACGTGAAAATTAAAGGAAGAATAATAGTAAAGTCTCAAAAGAAGAAATTAATAGTTGTTAGGTTCCAAACATGAATTTCAATTGTAAATTGAGAGGCACATTTACAATTTAAATATCTTGTTTGCAATTTAAACTCCTAAATTTGCAATTATTTAAATCTATATTTATAATTTATTTTTCAAAAAATTTTAATAAAGATTCAATTGTTATTAATTTCCTCTTTTGAGATTTCACAATTATTCTTTCAAAATTAAAGCATCCGATACTGCATCTTACTGATGCCATTTTAGCCAACAATGGTGGAATAAAATTTGGCAACACCTATAAGGACAATAAGAAAATAATTTCAACTCAATAAGAGACAAACTTAGTAAAGGTAATAAGAGTTTATTCCACCCATCCATTTGCAATTCATGGTAATTAATTGCAAAATAACTGAGATATTATCTTCACATTCCATTGTATATATCTTATATAAATACACAAGACTATTTGAAACACAATGCATTTACTAATAATATAAAATCATCGCCCTCCATCTACAATCTCAAAGGCAATTTGCTTTTGAATTCTAGCATAACTTGAAACTGAAATACTTGTACTAGCACTCCCATATCCATCATTAGGAAAATGACCAAGTAAGTGTTCACTTTCTTCTACCATCATATCCTTCTCCTTTTCTTGAAGATTTTTTTCCATCGCTCTTAGACCCTCTAATTCCATTGCTACTTCCTTCATTGTTGGCCTTTCCTCTCCATTAACTCTAATGCACCTTTGTGCCAATAAGGCTACTTCCTTCAATTGTTTTGCATTCTCCTTTTGGTCTAGCACACGCTTATCAAGAATTTTCCACAAGCGGTCTTCTCTCATTGAACACACAAAGTGATTAGCCATTGCATTATTGAATTTAAATGCTCTTTTTCCAGTGAGTAGTTCCACAAGCACAATCCCAAAACTGTAAACATCACTCTTTTCATTCAATTGGCCAGTTTGGAGGTACTCTGGATCTAAGTATCCTATTGTTCCTTGGATCACAGTGGCAACTTGAGCTTCATCAAGATGGACAATTCTTGAAGCTCCAAAATCAGATACCTTTGCTCTATTGTCATGGTCTAATAGTATGTTGGCAGATTTAATATCTCGATGGATAATTGGAATAGAAGCAGCAGAGTGTAAATATGAAATGGCCTCTGCAGTCTCTACAGCTATTCTTAGTCGAGTCTTCCATGTAATAGAACAATCATTTGTTGATGGGCTTAGGTGGTCAAGAAGGGTGCCATTGTCTACAAACTCATAAACTAATAAAGGCACTTCAGTTTCAAGACAACATCCCAAAAGTTTGACCACATTCCGATGGTTGATTTGAGAAAGAACAAATACTTCATTGATAAAACTTTTAATATTTTGGGGATCCCCTCCAACTCTAGACTTTTTAATGGCAACAGGTGTATTGTTTGACAACGTACCCTTATAAACCGTGCCTTGTCCTCCGCAACCAAGAATCCTACTTTCATCAAAGTTATTTGTGGCATTCTTAAGCTCTTCTTCTGTAAAGATCCTGGCCCTTTCAGTATATCCTTGTCGTTGAGAAAATTGTTGGAGAAGCAAGTTTCCTCCATTTTGCTCAAAATTTCTTTCTTTTAGTTGTTTCAGACTTCTTTGCTTTTGTGCCCAACATAACGCAGAGAGCAGTGTGAAGGCAACCAACAAAGCTATAATAACACCTACATGCCATAGAATAAATGTAATATGTGATATTTTCAGCAAATGAAGCTTCTGAATTTTGATTTTAACGTATGTAAAGATGCTAATACTCTGTTCATAATTTCCAATCACTCTCCAGCACAAAGTCCTAATCTAACCATTAAAAGATGGCAGTGACTTTAAGATAAACAATGCTAAATAGTTAAAAGTCATTAAAACAAACTGCTATTTAATAACCTAAAATATATTTATTTTTTAAATATGTTAAATTTTTAAAACTAGAAAAAAAATCTATTTGCTATAATTTTTTTGATACAATTACATATTATTTATGGGTCGAGCCGGGTAGAATCACATGGGTAGCAAAGCTCTCCCAATGAATATTTAACATAGTTGTATACCCAAAACTTGAACTCGAGACCATAGGTTAAACTAACACAACTCCTTATCAGTTGAGCCACGGCTCATTGGTTATTTGCTATGATTTTAAATTTTGAATTTTTTTTTCAGTTTTCCATGTGTGGATAAACCAAAGAAAAAACTTGCAAGCTTAATGGCTTGTTGTACACTGGGTAGTTTTTTAATGAATTATTTATCCTGTCACTAACTAATTAATGCTATTAAAATTTACAACTTAATTATTTTTAAATTAAAATAAATCTACTTCTTCTGAAATTTAATTAGAAAAAAGACCTTAAATATACAAGTTTAGTGTCCAAGCGTTCTGCATGGACGGACTCTTATGCATGATACATATTTATGCACAATTGAACATTCATTTATTTTAATTTATTTCACTATTTCATAGTTATGATGACTGTCTTACCTTTGCTGACATATCAAAATATATTTTGAATATAAAGTAGTAATTAGTCCAAGTAGCAAGTACAAATTCTTATTTGTAATGTAATTTTTTATACACTTATTTGATATTTAAAAATGTGTCATTTTAAATGCTACTCCTTTCATCCCAAATTATAAGACAATTTTTGAGAATATTTTATCATCCCAAAAAATAAGGTAATTTGATGAAAAATAAAGTATCATTAATTATACTTTTTCAATATTAATTATCAAATGGAGATAAAATTAAAATGATTGTAGTGTGTATATTTAAAGTTATATTTTTCTGTTCCAAATTATAAAACAATTTGAGATAAGATTATGCATACAAATAAAACCCAATAATAGCCCTTTGCATACTTACTTTTTTAAAATAAAAATATAAACTTTTAAAAATGTCTTTAATTTAAGATAACTTTAAATTTACACACTTAATTATTACACTACAATCATCTCATTCTTTCTCAATTTGAAGGGTAATATTAAAAAATTATTATTAATAAAATATTATTTTTAGCAAATTGTATTTCATTTTGGGACAACAAAATACCCTCAAAATTGATTTATAATTGGGACGAATCAAATATTAAATAATGAAGGTTATTTTTAAAAGTTTATATTTTTATTTTAAAAAATATTAAATTTGATATGCATAATTTCATCACAAATTTGCCTTATAGATTGGGATCGCGTATTTTTTTTTGAAAGAAAAAAAAATTCAGAGAGACAGTTCTTAATCTGTAGTCTTACCTATTGAGATTTTAATGATAAGCCACTCCTTTCCAGAGTCACATTTGTAGCTACCATCAAAATTGTGGCAATGATTCTGATCGATGCAATCATGTAAGGATTTGTCGAGGCACTCATCCACATCTGAAGTCACGTAGACATTGTAGCACAATTAATATATATTATAGAAAAACCCCTATTTTGTATGCTATAATAATGTAAAAATCAACAAAAGTAATTAGGAGTTGGTTTAAAATTGTTTTTGTTTTATTATTCTGAGAATTGATGTTTTGTAAAATATATTTTAAGAAAAAAATAATAAAAATAAGTTTTTTTTTCATTCTCTTTTGTTCCCTAGAGCAATAATCCCAAAACACCTAAAAGATATTTCTATTTTTTTATTTCCCAGAATAATATTTTATTTTTTTATTCTTCAAAATACTTTTTAAAAACATGTCACCAAATAAATTTTTTTATCTTTTATTCTAAAAAAATAAAAAGTTATTTTTAAAATAGATTGTCAAACATGCCCTAATATTCTGATAAGAACATGTGTCCTGATATGATCTCCAGTTATCAACTGTAATGTGAGTAATGGCTTCCAAATCCTTGACAAGATCCATAGTCTACAGACCACAAGCTATGTTTTGGGCTCTCTCTCTCTCTCTCTCACTCATAATGGTCCTATGTGGCACCTGTTCTGCTGAGGATTATAACATTGGTTTATTGTATTTTGAAGAACCAACCTCCTCTACTAGACTTAATATTTATAATAGCTTGGAGTGTTTAATATCCCATATATTAATGCCCTAACATTTTCATTGTTTTTTTATGTTATTATTAAATCTTATAAAATTAAAAGACATTTTGATGTCTTATAAAAATAAAATGATGTAGTTTTGATTTATTATTTTATGTGAAAAGTATTAAAAAAAGCGAAACTACACAATTTTATCATGGTAAGATATCAACATCATTTTATATAAAATCTAATAATCAAAAGAAAAAAGAGAAAAAAATTGAAAAATTTATGAATAGATACAAGAGATTTATTTACAAATAAGTTTCATAAAATTAAAAAACTAGAGCTAAGTTTCTAAATTTTGAGTGTAATTTAAAGTTAGAGTGTAAAGACAATATTATCTCTATTAATATTGCTTTCACTTACAATTGCAACTTCACAACTTATAAGTAAAAATTTATAATTCACAAATTAAATTTCTTATTTAATGCTTGATATAACATGAAGTATCTATAGAGTTAATCATGTCTATTTAAGGTTATAATTAAATAGTGAATTACAAATTTTACATTTTAATTAGATCAATTATAGCTTTAAGCATGCATAATTAATTTCACGAAGACTCCATGTTATATCAAGCATTAGACAATAAATTTGATTTGTAAATTATGAATTTTTATTTGTAAATGGCGAAGTTATAGTTATAAATGAAAGCCAAATTAATTGTCATAACTTTATTAATTAAATCTAATCTTAAACAAGCCATAGGCTAAATATTTAAATATAAAAAACAAGCTCTATAATTTCCTTGCATTCCAGTTAGATCAATTATAGCATTAAGTAGACGTAATTAATTTTATGAACACTCTATTTATATTATATCAAATGTTAAATAAGAAATTTGACTTATTAATTATGAATTTTTTCTTATAACTTTTGATGTTGCATTTGTAAGTAAAAGCCAACTTAATATGAAAAGTATTATCTTTAGACCCTAACCACAAATCTCCCTCCGTTGTAATTATAATTACCATCAAAGCGAAACTATAGTCCTAATTGGCAATTGAGGGAGGAAAAAAAGTCATGAAAAAAAATATGTGGCCTGAAATTCTTTTCACCAACAAGTGGGCCAGAATTGGAAATATATCTTGAGGTGACCCACATTTTTCTTCCTCCTTCTAAGAGTTGTGTATCCTAAATTTAATTTTTTAAAGTTAAATTAAATAGATTTTCATTAAAAATATTATTAAATAATTTTAGATATGTTATTAGATTAAGTTTTAAATTGCATATTTTTCAACAAAAAATTAAACCTTAATTCATCATGGTGCGAAAAATTAGTCTAGTTTGCCAGGTCCAACTCTTGTTTATAATTATTAATTATTTGAGGGAAATGGAGGGGATTAATGGACTCAATTTTGAAAATTGAAGAAGTTGGGTTGAAAGTTTTAAATTAATTTTTTTTAACTTTTTCTTCTTATATTTTCTCTCAAAATTTTATAATATCATTTTTTTTAAATCAATTGAACTCATTAGAATTTTTTTTTCCTTTCCCTTCATTTTCCTTGAATCAGATAAAGGGTTAATATTCCTGTTTTTATCGGTGTTAAATCTAGTTACACTTAAATCTCAAGTAATTTGAATGCAGTTTTTTAACTTTACATGACTTATTTATAAATAAATATATTGTATGAGGTCTATTTATAATTTTTTCATAAAAAAAATCCAAGGCCTGAATGACCCCTGAACCATTTTCAAAAGGTCTATAAAGGCCTTTATAAATGGGATCTGGACATCCGTTTAGACTCTTAGCACCGGCACTGCCAAACTGGTTAAGTGCTCAACTTATATTGCCAAGTCTACTTGTAATTAACTACCATTTTATTTTATCATAAAAAACTATATCTGAAAATAGAAAAAAAATTATTGGGAGGGTAATTTATAAAATATAAAATCACCTTGGCAACCATCGGAGAGGTACGGGTTTCCTTGGAACCCTGGTTTGCATTTGCAGACGTAGTAGCCACTGATACTCTCCGATTCTTCGCATCTACTTTCTTTACTTTTGCAAGCTCCACCGCAAGATTTCTTACTGTCAACAGCCCAATCGAGAACCACAGTAGATCTGTTGCTTTTCCCTAGACTCTGGAGATCTTTGTACGAAAACTTGAAAGATTCATTAGTCTCTGCAAAAAATGAGTAGCTGCAAGGCACGAAGTTCTCAGAAACGTTCGAGCCATCATAGAAATTAAAAAGACTAACAGAATAATTTGTAAGGGCTCGGTCGAAAGGGGTCTGGCAACAAAAGCCAGAGGAAGTTTTAACAGTCACGGATCTCCACTCATCAGTGCATTTCGTTTCGCAGCCATTATACTTATTTTCTTTGCGGTCAAAGAGGGAAGAGACGGTGTAACAGCCAACTACGATGAACTTGTTCATTTTATTGGAGATGGCAAACTTGTGAGGCGTTAAATAAGTTTTCCTCCAATAATTTGTTTCATTGGGATTATAGCAACCAGATTGAACCGGGACAGAGACGTGCAGCTCATTACGATCCCCGGAGATGTTGAGGACTTGGAAAGTGTTGTTTGCTCCTAAATATGGAATCGGATTCTGCTGCTGCTGGTTCTTCTTTTTGTCGCAGATTATATGAAAAGCTTCATCTTTGAAGCAGCCTTCCCTTGTGCCAAAGGGATATAGGATGGTCACGTCCCCGCACTTAGTATCACAGTCTGGTTTCGATTCTTGTTCTGCTACCACTGCTACAAGGGTGAAGGCAACTAGTGCCAATCTCAAAAGCAATAATGCACTTAAACCCATTGTTTATGGCATGTGATGGTAATTCTCTGCATTCTGATGGATTCCAGAGAGCTAACCAAGTTACTTAAATACCATATGACATAAATGTTGTGTCCCCGCAATTTATGAATCGGCCCCAGTTTAGCGGTGAAACTACACTAGTTAGAGTCCGTACTGGAAGCACACTGCTTGACTGGACTAGATATATTTAGATTAGAGTCAGGGCACCTGAATACGAAAATATAAAAAAACTTATATAACAAAACCTAGCATATATCGAGCTTATTGGTACTGACACACAAATACCTGAAATTTAAAATATTATTTCATTTTATTTTTATCAATTTTAATTTATATTTTAAAAAATTAAAATTTTCAATTTTTATATAATTTTTGTTGTATTTTATTAATAATAAAAATTTTTAGGTATTCAAGTTAAACTCTTCAGTTCAGGGTTGGCTTGAATTTTTTTATCTTATTCATACAGCCTAACCTCAAGTAAAGAAAATTATTTAAACTCCCAAACCCAAGGCTAAACTCTTTTAGATTTATTCAAACTATCTTGTTATGCTCTGCCTAATATACAGTACTGGTCTATAATAATTAATCGCTTCTTTCATCACTTTGCGAAATTTGTGTGTGTTTGATTTTCAGTTTGTCAAAAATTTATTTGGTGCAAGTTTATTTGGTAAAATTAATTTAGTGAAAGTTAGTTCTTGTAATGAAATTTATATCTGGATATATTTTTTTAAAAATTAGTTTGGTACACTGAAAGTTATTTGGTTTGTGATAGTAAAATATGCTTTTGAATATACAATTACCAAAAAGGATATTAATTTATGATGATTTATAATTTTTATTATACAAATATAATATATTTAAAATATTTAAACAATGTGATAAAGATTTTAAATAACATAAATTTTATCTATGATGCTAAAAATTTAATATCTAGTTATTTTTATTTTTTAATTTGTAATTTTAAAAAATGTGATAAAGATTTGTAATTTTTATTATACATTAATGCTAAAAATTAATATGATTAATTATTTAATTTAAAATGCTAAAAATGTGATGCCTAATTATTATTATTGAAATAAAAAATAAGAGATTAAATTTGAGATAGTATGATCAAATAACATTTTACTTTTTAAATTCATTTTTTAAAAGCTTCAAATAATTATATTTTAAAAATTTACTTTCAACTACTGTTTAAATATACTTTTAGAATGTATTTTTTTATAAAATATTTTACCTAAATAACTTTTAATTTTTTAAAAATAAAATTTTGTTTTTTAAACGTAAAAAATAAGAAAATCAAACAAATCCTTCATCAAATGGCGTGTTTCTAAAAGAAGACTTGGACAAGTCAAAGTCTTCGGGGATATGTTTACTCTTTTTCCTAAACGAGAAGATAAAGTTGCATCACCTAACATTTCTGGTGCCAGCCGATGTGTGGCCAGAAAGAGTTGGACTTTCATCTTCGTCATCATCATCGTCATCATGACATTATTGTGGAATTAATTTCGATCTTTTGTCATTAATTTTATATGTACTTCCTATTTAGGAAAAAATTATAATCGATTATAGGACTTAAATAATCAATTTTTTTTTAAAATTCCAAACAGTTAAAAAAAGTTAATAATTAATTATTGAACCACAATTACATTTTAAAATAAGCTATGAGAGATTACTTATAAATTTAATTTTACTGTTAAATAATATATTTTACTTTTTAAATAAAGTTTAACAAATTTAATAATATTAAATACAATAAAGTAATATCTTTTATGGTAATTTTTATAGTTAAAATTAATTACAATATTTAAATAAATTATGTTATTACGTAATCAATTGTAATTAATATTAATTATATTAATTAATTATTTTTATAATTAATTATATCAAATAAAATCTGAACGGACTAGTAGTGGTGTGAAAATCATTTTTTCAAAGCTTTGTTTTAGTTATTTTGATTTTTGATGGATGACAAGCCTCTAGTATATATTATTAACTCAAGAAGTCAACCTTCATTAGCGGGATTCCAATATTTTTTATTTTAAAAAATTATATCTACAAGTTTTTACAGTTTCATTTTATTTTAAATTAGGTCTCTACAATTTATTGAATACTTATGGTTTGATCAACTATTTTAATCCCTAAATGTTAAAATCCTTAAATTTTCCTTTTACATAATTTTTATAAATCAAAATTTATATAATTAAGTTGTCTTCTAAATATTATTTTATACAAGAAGAATTTTCATAACAAATTAATAAAAATGTAAATAGTGTATTAAATCAAATTTTCTTTTCTTGATTTTGGCTAAAAGTATTAAATTAACTTCTCTATAAACTACAAGAGTATTTTTGTTTTGTATAATTTAATAATTAATTAATAACTCTAACTTTCAAGAGTTAACATATATAACAAATCAAATTATAAATGTTTGATTAAAATAATAAATTATAGGGATCTAATTTAAAAATAAATGAAACTGTAAAGACCTACAAATATATTTTGCTTTTTATTTTAGTGGTAAGACTTAAAGACTTTACTTAAGAGATGATAAAATATGATTCACTCCAACCCCTATTAGTATTTATCAAAGCAATATTTCTATTGCATGGGCTTATTTCCTTTTATCTTTGAGTATTATTGATACTTTTTTTTTGTGATTATGATGGCAAATCCTTTAAGTATCCAATACTGCCTTCAGTCTCTATTATGGGGTGATTTTTAAAAGAATTCTTTAATTTTTAATATAGTATAAGGTATTTAATAAGATAATAATTATGTTTTTTCAATATGATCATTTCTATTAATAACACTGAAACTCTTAAGACTTTGTTTAAGATATATTAAATCTGTTATCACTTACTCTAGCAATGATTAGTGTAGTCTTCTCATTCTATTTAATTATAAATCACTTTTAACATGTTTAATTAAAATTAAGAAAACTCTTAAAACTTATTAATTAATCTATCTAAAAATTTAATAAGTTTCTACCTTTATTTTTATATTATATATATATATACTTTAATAAGGTATACCAATATTTAATAAAGGATAAAAGTAGAAATATATGATGAAAAATTAATGATGTACAAACTTATAAATAAAATTAAAAAATTTTATTTCTCTATCGTCTAAATAACACCAGACCAAACATCTCTATTATTATTATATTATATTGTACGTCGGCCCATATCAACATCTTCAACAACCAAGAGAGACATTGACGAAAAGGCTTGCTCATTGCGTTGACTCAAACAAGCTTGAAGATGAAGTTTCACAAATATGACAAAAGTTGGGAGACTCATTGACCAAGTCTCCTTCTTGTTCAATATTCCACGCCAGAATAAGGCAATGAAATATGAATGATGCTCAAAGTTTTAATCCTGTTTTCCTTCTTCAGCAAACAAGGGAATTGGATGATCAAGACCAACTTAGCTTGCATTTCACGGCCAAACATCCATATGCAGTATCACATGACTAAAAATCTTCTGAACATCTTTGTTTTTCCATGGCTTTGCTGTTATTTCCCACAAAATTTAGACACACAAATTTAATGTTATATTGCATGCATGCACATAAAGTTTCAGTTTTTATCTCCTTTAATTTATTTTATGCTTCTATCATTTATCATAAAATATTTTCTTATTTGTTTAATTTTCAAGTTATTCTAATTGTGAAATTAATGGTAATCTGGTCATCATATAAATCAATGTCCACACACCATATTAAAATTTTTGGTATTATAATTAGCTTCACAGATCTTAATACTTCTTTTCATGTGTGATTTGGAATAGGAAGAATAACAGAAAGATCGCAAAAGGATTAATTAATTTAACTTAGATTTCAAGTGTCAGCTCAAATAATTTATAAGTTTGGTTCTCAATTTTGCTACTTTATTGTAATGAATTTGTAAATTATATTTCAAATTTTAAGAGAAAAATAAATTTATTTTTTTTAAATCATGTTAAAATTTAAAAATTAAGTTACAAATTCATTACAATAAAATTATAAAATTGAGAGTTGAACTTGTAAATTTTTAAAATTTAGCCCTTAGAATCTAAGTTAAATTAATTAGTCTTTTTGTGACTTCTCTGTAATTCTTTCTTTAGAATATTAGTTCAATCCAATGATTGAAAACAATGATAATATATAGGGGGTCATGATTGCAAAGCATATAAGCTAATTGTTAAAATTATATATATATATATATATATATTAACATAATATAAATATTTTAACATACACTACAAAAAAAATTGCTAATCAGTGAAAATTATGTTACTGAATGGGTTGGTGACAAAATTAGTGACGGAATATTTTTTGTTGGTAAAAACATTATCATTAATTCGTTAGTAATGGAATATTGACAAAAAATTTTTATCACTAAATAAGGATAAGTTATCCTAATTTTGAAATGAAATATATTTTATTGCTAATTTTTAAATAGACCACAACATCATTGCCATATCATCTGGTGGACTAATACCGCCTCACCACTACCTAGTCACCTAGTGGACCAGTACTACTTCACCATCATCTCACCGTCACATCATTTGTCATTGTCATGTCAAATATTATTACCTTTAATTATATCTTGGCCAAGCTCGAACCCACAACCTCACACTTCCTAGTGCTTTTGCATTCACTTTATTAACAATTAAGTTAAAAAGAATCTTCAATCTTAATTGATAAATTAAATATATAAGACTTAACCACACACATATATTAATGAATATTTAAATTTAAATTATTATTAAATATAGTATTTAAATTTACTTATTTTTTAACATTATATTTATTTATTAATATGGAAAAATTAATTTATATATAATAATTATTTCTGTTATATTTTTTAATTTTTTAATTTTTTAATTATTAATTATTTATTTTTTACTTTTAAATAAGAATAATTAAATATACAATTTAAATTATTATTAATAATATACAAATAATTTAAAATAATTTATTATTTTAAATTATAATTTTTAAATTATTTATTTATA